ACCGTACAAGAAATCAGACTCTCTGTTCCGATGCCGGAACATTTTCGCGACTACGATAGGAAGAAGTACAACTGAGTCAAGTCAAACGTGAAAAGTTCCCTCTGTATTTCGCTCTCAGTAAGAGGCGGAAGCATTCGAGAAGTAGCCACAGTGGTAGCACATGCAAAGAGCAGCCTCCTGCTGGCAAGGCTGTCGATGGATCCCTCTTCTGAGGGTTGCTTACAAGCAAGCATATGGCGAGTTTGACTCACTGGCATATAACAGTACTAATTTGCCACCGGAAAGAAACGTACAGAAATTGGTTGTTCCACCAGCAGAGTCGACTCTTCAACCTACTGCACGGCAACTGTCTTACCCAGCTGCGCCGTGCCTGACGGCAAAATTGAGTAAAGAATGAAATACTGATTGCTTTGCTTCGAAACGGTGCAAATCGTGCACCGAGTGAATGGTTACCGTAACAACCGCTCGAACTGGCTATGAAGAGAAAAACGCATTTCTCCAAGATGCAATTAATACCGAGCAGCAGCTCTGCATCTTAAAACCTAAATCCAGCAGTTCCAGTACATCAGGGTAATTACAATAAATAGCAGCGCGCACCAGACTAGCCGGTGCGATCATGCGTTTTGTGCAATTCAGCCCATCAAACGATTGCCTATTAATAACTTTCACCGCTTTGTACTTTAGTCTATGCAAAAATAGTTCAAACACTGGAAAATGGTAAAAAATTTCACGCACCAGCGCATGAAAGCTGAATTAGAAACCCTGAAGGGTGAATACCTTCCCGTGATTCCCGAGATAATGATTTACCCGTAAAAACTTTCACTAGCCCGTAGATGATACACAAGAGCGCGGGAATGCTGAATTTGAATAGGAAAGGTTGAGCGTGGGCAGGGGATCGTTGCTTTAAAATTTCAGCCTCCTAGACTTCGTGGTTCCCGAGATATTAATTTACCCGTAAAAAACTTTCACGGGGCCGTACGTGTTACCCCCGAGTACGGGGAAGCTGAATTTGAGCGGGCAAGGTTGGGCGCGGGCAGGGGGTTATTACCCTAAAATTTCAGCCTTCTAGACTTCGTGGTTTCCGAGATATCAATTTACCCGTAAAAAACTTTCACGGGGCCGTACGTGTGACCCGCGGGCACGGGGAAGCTGAAATTTGCGGGGTCATACGTGGCTGGGAACGTTCCTCTGAATTTTCAGCTTCCTAGCTTTTGTGGTTCCCGAGTTGAAAGTTGCGGACAAGTTGCTGCGGACACCACACACACACACAAGTGACAATATGCGTTTTGTACTGCTGCTACACAGTACAAAACGCATAAAAACTCAGCTCGGTCGGCGTTATGCACGACCTCCAAAAAAATTTTTCTTTCAACGGCTGGTAGGGCTGTCCCACGGTGGATAGGGAGAGTTTGAATATGGTAAATGTGTTGTGGGCTTCGTTCGAGGCAGAGGGGAGGGGGACTGAGATAGGTGGGTTTAATGACTAAATGACGTAGATCTTTCGTCGGTTGGCTAGGTCACACACATTTAGAGGTGAAAAGAGGGTAATGGATGAAAAGGGTGAGGAAGTGTGCTCCTAGTTCTTGCCGTTGGTACCTGGGGTAGGAAGAGGTGAAAACTGCTTGCTTACACAGTGCTCTTATAGTGGGACGGACAGGAGCCCAGATGTTGCTTTTGCGGGCAGGATTTGGAGGCAGGGTAGGGAAAGGGGAATGAGGATACAAGTCTGAATCTTGAGGCAAGAACTGGAGACAGCAATGAAGAGAAAAAGACAATACAGCACCACAAAGAAAAGAACACTGAAGCAAGTCCAGCTCTATGAATAAAAGCAAAAACACTGAGGTTTTGCTAGTGGAAACTGTTCCATAAAAACCCGTCGCTAGTAGAGGACTTCCCTATTAATGAAGCTGATGCTTAGGCAAAGTCGAGAGCGAATAATTTCCGTTGTAGAATATAATGCACGCAAGAACAGGGCAGACTGGATGCATGGGGCTGAATTCAACCTTCGGCTCTGTGGGATTTTGACGGCAAAAAACAAACAGAGGTGTAACTGATGTGCACTGCTGAATGCGACACAATGGAATTGTGTGTAGTTTTTGCAGAAATCCATTCGAATTTATTAACCCTCAGCTTCACCTAAGCACCAGCTTCGTAAGAAGGGGAACCCATTGCTGAAGGTCTTTTATCGCACAGCCTCCGTTTTTTCTTGCTTTTATCCACAGGTTCAGATTTTTTTTCATTTTGCTTTTTTTTGTTTTTATTCATAGACGCCGGTTTGCTTTACTTTTCTTTGTAGCGCTGTTATCTTTTTGCTCTTTGTTGCTGTCTTCAGTTCTTGCCTTGAGCTCCCGAATTATATTCTCGTCCCCCTTCTTTACAGTCTCCCCAAATCTTGCCAACAAACCAATACCTCAGTTCCTCTCCATGTCCACTACAACAGCACTGCGTATGCAAGCAGTATTTCATCTTTTCTCCACTTGGATATCCATGGCAAAAACCAGAAGCATACTCCCTCATCCTTTCCATCTATCACTCCTTCCTCTCTCCCTTTCAAACGTACGCAACCTAGCCAACCGACAAAAGATCAACGCTATGTAGCCATCAAATCCACCTATTCCAGACTCCCTCCCCTGGCCCCGAACCAAATCCGCAGTTCACCACTCCCTCCCGCTTGCCACATTCTAACTCTCGCCATTCGCCGTATTGCAGCTCTAATCTGCCTCAGACCGTGTATGATGCCGGCCAAGCCGGGCCGAGGTTTTCAAATTGCCTGCACCAGCGTCGCCCTC